GACCAAACAGAGGCAAAAGCTTCAGTAAGGGTTTTCAGCTTATTAAACCTGTACCTGGTGTTCTGAAGGGTCTGCCCACAGCCTGAGAACTCTAATGGAGACAAGGGATCATCTCAAGAAACAGACCTGCCCATTCTTTTACTCACCATCATGGGAGTGGCCAGTATTGGACAGAACCAACTGAAGTAGAGATTAACAGGTCTAGTTTTCAGAAGAGTCAGACCAAAATCTTTCTAAAATTAGAAGTAGACACTCCTACTTGAAGGAGAAAATTCCCTACAAGATCCTCCAGGACATGGCCTCCAACTGCCTAGGATATGGCCTTTACTATATTGGTCAGGAGATGGAGAAGGTTTGCCCCAGGAAGTGCAGGGATACATGTCTTCCTAGGCCTCAGACAAACCTGCAGGGCCTTATCTTAGGCTTTAGAGTCAACATTCCTGAACAAGCCCAACAGGGGTTGGCCTGCAGGGGTTAACACTGGCTTGTATGCTGTCACCCTAGGGAACAGGCAGCTGGTTTTGTCTCCTTCAGGGATCCCATCAGTTTCACTCTAGCTAACCTCACATTATGTGCCTTTGCCTTTCTCCTTTCCTCCCTTGCCTGAGGGGTTGTGCAACTATCATGGGGGTGGCCACATGAATGAGCTTTTTATGACCCCACACAGGGACAACAGAATGTCAAATGTTAATTAGAAGCAAGTCAGCTTCTGTCCCTGGCCCATTATCATGAGACTTTTTAGATTTTAAAGGAAAAATCTGACATGAAACATTGTAGACTGGGCTCCAGAAGCCTCCAAGGGTGCAGTAGAAGCCGTACAATGTGGGGCAGGTGACATCAGAGAGTCAACACAGGGGACTTTGAGTCTGTTTGAGAAAAAGTGGCTGCAGGACAATCTCAGAACCTCATCCTATACACACATACCTCACCCCACCCCATTTCACTAAATCCAACACAGGGTTGCCCTAAGCTCTCAATAGATCATAGCAACTGGGCTCCATGTATGCAAACGTCTTCTGCAACCAGCAGTGAAGATGGCAGGGTTGGAGGATATGGAAGAAAAGAAGAGAGTGAAGGCAAGCAAGGGTGAGGAGAGTCAAGCACCTTGGTGTAAAGTGCAGGGGAGGTTCAATAAGTATGGTTTCCTCTCTAAGACCAGGAAAGAGTTTCATACCTTAAACATATGACATGAAAAAATTTGAATACAGAATTTGGAGAGGAACTAGTTGTAGGTGGGACTGAATAGAGGAAGTAGGCCCCTGGGAGTGGGAGGATGTTCCTAGGGCATCCCTGCCCCTTCCTGTTGCTGATCCCTCTGCTTTCTGGCCACCGTGAGGTGAGCTATTCTGCTCCAACACAATCTTCCCACTCTAAGGACCTGAAACTGTAAGCAAAATAAATTGTCCCTTTGTTAAGTTTGTTCTCTCAGATATTTTTCATGGTGCCAAGAAAGAGTTTAAAATATAGATAAAGCAGGAGAACATTACAGAAAGACAAATCTTGTATGATCCCATATATGAAGAAGGAAAGTGTGGTGCTGGTTGCATAGGTAGGGAAAGGCTGCCTGTTTAATGGGGACAGAGTTTCAGCTTGAGAAGATGGAAAGTTCTAAAGACAGACAATGGTGCCCATGTTTAATGCTATCAAATTCTGTGATATGGTTACATGGAACGTTTTGCTGTATAAATATTATATAATAAAAATTATTTGAATATATGCAACATGAACTACTTACTGAGTTTACATGGATATACACAGTCATGTGTTTACACACAGACATACATGCATAGACATATGGCTTATGACAGTTCTGGTGGCCTGTGGATGGTGAGGCCGCTCTATTGCTTCCTGAGACCTGGATGGATCCTAAGTCTTCTGAGGGGGCAGTGGGCTCCAATAATACAACAGGGCTATTCAGTCTGCCTGGGTCACTTTTCTACCACACTGGTTGCTTGGCCCTAAGCCAGGTACTATTGCTGAGTTTGGCCAGCACAGTTAGTTCTGGAATGGCTTTTCCTCCTTGGGCATCCACTGGTGCCCCCAATAATGCCCACTCCCACTGATGGCATCCTTCAAGTCCAAGAAGAGAAGACAATATGGTGTTATGCATCTGTTGAAGGCCTGGGATGTTTTCTTGGGTTCAGAACTTCGCTATTATCTCAGTTATTAGAGACACAAAATCAGGGCTTGACGATGCCTATTAACTTACATCCTCCCTAAATATACAGTTATCTATATACAAGGCGTGCCTCATGCCATATCCCCAGACTTTCTTTCATTCCTGGTCCATGACACCAGCCCTTATCCTGGAGTACTCAGTCAGATGTGTACTCATCCCGATGTCATGGTGGCCCTTGGCTGATGGCCTTGGGTGACTGTTATATTGGTCCTTATCTGTAACAGGTCCAAGGATCACCAGCTCTCACTGGTAAAAGCAGCCAATGGGTAGAGGAGGTTCTCCCCCACTGTGCTGGTAATGATTGTATGTCTCAGCTCTATTAGCTGAACTATGATATGAGGATAACTTCCAGTTGGGGCAAATAAGTCAAGTGAGCTTAACCCAACAAATATGCAGTGTGTTCCCAGCCAGTCCAGCACCCCAAATGGACAATACCCAATAACCAGTTTCTTGGACCACAGTTGCCTGACCATCTTTGCAGCCTTGGAACTGCTGAGATGTGGGGAGAGGAAAAAAATCTCTTCCGATGTCTGTCATCTGAGGGAATGATAAAGTTGTTTAATCGAGTCTTCTGCTTCTATCACTCCCCATTCACAGGTAATAACCGCAGTGCTTGGATAAGAATTGTGAATGCCTCAGTTAATCAGTGCATGGCTGTCTTAGTCAATATTTTATGACTGTGAAGAGACACCATGACCAAGGCAACTCTTATAAAACAAAGCCTTTAATTGAGGGCTTGCTCATGGTTTAGTCCATTGTTGTCGTGGTAGAAAGCATGGTGGCACACAAGCAGAAACAGTGGTAGAAAAGTAGCTGAGAGCTACATCCTAATCAGCTGGCTGAGAGAGCCAGACTCTGGGATCAGCATAGGATTTTGAAACTTCAAAGTCCACCCCAAATGATACACTTCTTCCAACAATGCCACACCTCCTAATCCTTTAAAATAGTGCCACTCTCTGGTGACCAAGCATTTACATGTATAAGCCTATTCAAACCACCACAGTGGCCTTGCATGGGCAGCTTAACTTTGTGGGCTGTGATTTCTTCACTTGTCAAATAAGGATACTAATGGTGAGGATCTTGCCAGAGGAGAAGTCTTCTTATACAACCAGCATCAAGAAAGGTACCCCTGGGGTTGGAGAGATGGCTCAGCAGTTAAGAGCACTGACTGTTCTTCCAGAGGTCCTGAGTTCAATTCCCAGAAACCACATGGTGGCTCACAACCACCTTGAATGCGACCTAGTGCCTTCTGCTGACATGCAGGCAGAAGACTATATACATAATGAATAAATAAAATATGAAAAAAGAAAGGTACCCCTGGCAGACTGGTTCAGCCGTTAAAGGCTAGGCTCACAACCTGTTGGTTGGTGGTTCAGGAGATAGAAGGTCTTAATTCTCTCAGCTAGCAGAGGGCACAGCGTTCCCGCATCGGTGCCAGCCTCTTATCCCTTTCCTCATCCCACAATCTGTGCCCATATTCCACCCGGCAACTAGCTCTTCAGTGACCTTGTACTCTTCTTCTAAAACTCCAACTTCACCACAAAATTTCTGCCAAGAAAATAAGACTGGGATGCTTAGAGTTGTTATCCAGCTGGGGTGGCAGCAATTTTAGAACATCACCAGTATCTGTCTCTGTGATGGGATGGGAGTGGATTATTAAAATTTAACTAGTCTGAAGTTTCCTTTCTTAACATGCTTTGAATGTGTTTGAAAGTTACAAAGTCCAATTTTTTAAATCCTCAGCATCTCTGGCCTTTCTCCTTGAAGATGTTTCTCTGCACTGGCCATTCCTGCCCATTGCTCCACTATACTGGTACTACCTCTCATCCTAGAACATCATAAACCCCTTTCTTGGGGGAGAATAGGCACAACTAAGTCCACCTGGACCTTTCTGCCCTATGCACTATGCCTCCTGGGGATAACAGGTGACACACAGGAACTATCACTCCAAACTCCCTTCCTAAGACATCTCCCTCCATCCACATGTAGCATCAGAACTTTGTACCTGCTTTAGTAGGGGCTCACATTTGGGTACAGGGGAACAAAACAGCTGTGTGATACAAACAGCCTCTCACCCTGGGCCAGGTGCCAAAAGAGGTTCGGTTCAGGGGAAAAGGGGACTGAGAAGACCACTCTCAGAAGGATCATTTCCCACTTCCTGTGCTGACACCTCCTGCAGTCTTCACAATCTCTAGCTAGCCACAGGTCCAGAAAGGTTCTGGAAGTCCCTAGCCCAAGCCTCCGAGGAGTCTCCAAACAAGCAGCAGTTGACCCTGTGAGGATCTGAGTATCACTGTCACAAGTGGGATAGCCCAAGACAGCAGAAGAATGGTGTCTCGGAATACTGGAGATAACATTTCTGAGTTGAGTTGACAGGAATCTATCATTGACACTGTAGACAAGCCTTAGGTGCTTATTCTGTCACTTGCTTTCATCCTCATGGATTCTTCCTGTGTCTGCATTTTCATCTTAGACATCAATCAAATAGTCCTAGAGGGTTATTTTGTAACTTGATTATTCTGCAAAGACCCAATGTGCAAACAGAATCACTTTCTCCATTCTAAATAAAACATGGATTCACATCATTGTTTGTATTTCCATCCCATAGTAATTGTAGAGAGACCAGTCCCTACTAAGGGAACATTAGTGAGGCAAAAGACGCTATTGGGAAGGTACAGCTTGTATGACACAAATCCTGAACTGGGCAAGATTGCCTTCTCTTCTCTTGTTCTTAGTTTAAGAACAATTAACAATTTTAAAATAATACTATTTGAAAGATTTGCAAAATCACTGTTTTGTATAAAAACTAAAGTTACACTTACCAAAGGAAAAGTGTGCTTGACTTGACACTCTGCTACGGATGAGTGTCCCCAGAAGCCTATGTACTGAAGTTTAAGCTTGCTGACAGGGTAGCACTGTTGGGAGAAAGATAGGTCTAGACTAAGTGGAGCTATCACCAGGCTATTATGAGGAGAATCAGAAACTTGAAGAGGTGGCCCCCTCACTTCCTTCTCGCCCACTGAGACTCCTTCACCTGCACTTTCCTTGAGAGCATGGAGTCTTTGAGGTGTCTAGCAGGGAAGTCTTGGGTAACTTTATGTTGCCTGTTTGCTGAGGGAAAGGGCTTTGCTCCTGCACGTGTTCCTGCCATGATGTGCTGCCTTGCCATAGGCTCAAATCTGCTGCTGATCATCAGTTAAACCTCTAAAAACATATTTTTCTCCTTACAGTGACTATGCCGGGTGTTTGGTACATTTATAGAAAGCAGACACACAATTTTGTTGTTTTAAATACATAAAAACTCTGAGACTATGTCAGAAAATAGACATAACAAATATTGCTTCATAGTTCTACTCATATTGCTATTTATTTATTTATTTATTTATTGGTTTTTTGAGACAACGTTTCTCTGTATTGTTTTGGAGCCTGTCCTAGCACTCTCTCTGTAGACCAGAATAGCCTCAAACTCACAGAGATCCACCTGCCTCTGCCTCCCAAAGTGCTGGGATTAAAGGTGTGTGCCACCAACACCCAGCTTCATTATTTATTTCTGATCTACAATTTTAACACAGATATTTAATGAACTATAGAAATGATCCCTGAAAGTATAGTCGTAACACAGATATTTAAAGTACCACAATCTGAAGCAACTATCTGAGCAGAAAGCAAGCACAAGTGCTTCAGTTGTTAAACTTTATTATGGATACACACCACAGGGCCCAGGCTGGACAGATAGCAGCTATGTCACATGAGTTTTAACAAATAAACACCCTTATGGGATCTGAGAATGATATCTCACTTGGAAATGGGATAATTACAGATTCAATCAAAGTTAGGTCACTGAAGTGGACCTTAATTCAAAATAACCAATATCTGAAAAGGAAGCAGTGCAACGGGAAAAAGGGGGGGTCTAGGATACTTTATTAAATACAGAAATCACTTACAGGGGAAGCTGGGAACCGCTCTGTTCTCCGAAGCAAGGCCAACATCCAACAGAGATCTTTCTTGCCTTTCCGAAGTCCCTCTGTCCACACCCCAAGTGGGCGGGGCCAATATCTTTGGTATGTGAGCTCTCCCCTACAAATATTCTTATAAAAGGATTGGGGTGGGGGGGCATTGTGAACCTAGAGACACAGGGAAAGATGATAGAAAACATTAGAGGATGGATCCAGGTGACTGCAGAAAGGCAGTGAGCTCAGTGTATCCAAGATGCCAGCAGGAAAGAGAGGAGAGGCACAAAAGCCTCACCAACTCCTTCAAGCAGACATATCACAACCCTGAGACACTTAGAATCCCACACTGGCCTCCAGGTCTGAGGACCGTTGAAATTGCTCAGGTTTAGTACAGTAATGTGCTGAACTGAAGCTTACTAAGAGATTAATAAAGTCCACTGGTAACTACAGCAGTGTTGAGATGCTAGTCAATAAGTGCCCTTTTCTGAGAGAGTTTTGTTGCTGATCATTAATATCTCAGAGAAATTGCCTCATCACCATGGTTTTACTAAAGAAAACGCACCCATTTCTGACTGACCCCAGAAGAATCATGTCCTCCACCTGTTTTGGAAGGCATGGCTCCTGACCCCTGGAAATCAGAGGGACCTTGGAAGGCATCTGCATCCCATGACCAAAGCAACACCTGCAGTGTGTAAATGCTCCAGACAAGTGTCTCTGAAATAATGAGGAACACAGGAAAATTCCAGGATAAGGAGTCTCAGGTAAGAAAGAAGCAGGTGGCACCTCAAGTTCCTGGTCCTCCCCACAACAGTAGAGGCTTCCACAATACTGTCTCCCAGCCCCAATGGAACCTCCACTTAGCCTGGACCCCACACATCAAGTGGAAGTTCGACCCCAAGATCAAGAACATCAGAACAGAACAACCAAAAGATTGTCACTATTAAATGTCTTGGGCAAGCAATTGCCTATTTAAGGTAAATATATGTTCTATATATATCAGATACAAGTTCTATGTAACATGTACAGCTAAAATGTGCAACAACAGTATATGCCCATGGGAGAAATGGAACTATACTGGCATGCTTCTTTTACCATAATGAATTGTATGCCAGTTTACTTGAAGGCAGACTGTACTAAGCTCAATATGTATTCTAGAAACACCAAAAAGACACTAAATAAAACCGCAGTCACAGACACATGTTCTTCCCTACTATGTATACTCTTGTCTTACAGCATTGTGGCTCAATCCTATATTTTAAATAAAATTTAAAGCTTCAAGTCAAACCAAGTATAGCCTCTAGTTATCAAGGAATTGAACTAAAAATCAATGCCATAAAACATCAGGAAAATTTGAGAATTTTAATTTGAGATCATTCTAAGCCATCCACAGATATTTAAAGTGGAAGCATTTTAATCAATAAAAATGAAAACAATAAAAAGGAGAGAGAAGAAATAAGAGAAGTAAGAGTATCAGTGTTTGCAGCTTAAAGCCCTATTAGAGGAAAAGCCATAGCACAAAAATGTCTATATTTAGAGAGGACCTCTAAAATAACCTTAGCTTCTACCTCAGGAAGTTTCATTTTAATTCATGAAGCTAAAAGAATAGGAGAAAATGAAGCCAAAGCAAGCAGAATGTCTTAGTTTGCTTTTCTATCACTAAGATAAACACCATGGCCCAAAGCAACTTCGGGAGGTAAGGACTGATTTCAGTTTACGCTTTATAGACTATCATGGAGGAAGGCACTCAAGGCAGGAACAAGAGCTAAAACAGAGACCATGGAGGAATGCTTCTTACTGCCTTGCTCTCCAATGGCTCCAATAGCTTGGCTTTCCCCCTATACAACCCAAGAACACCTGCTCAGATGGTTCCTGGGCTGGGCTCTCCCGTGTTAATCATTAATAATGAGAATGTCTCCAATCTGATGGAGGCACCATTCCTCAACTGAGGTTTCCTCTGGTTAGGTTTGTGTCAAGTTAACAAAAAGTAACCAGCACACCAAGAAATTTTAAAAAATGACACAAGGATGGAAAAGAGAAGCAAAGCAATGCTACCCAAGCCTAATTCTTTTAAGATATTTTTAAAAGATTTATTCATTTATTTATTACATATATAGTGTTCTGCCTACAAGTCAGAAGAGGGCACCAGATTGAATTATAGATGGTTGTGAGCCACCATGTGGTTGCTGGGAATTGAACTGAGGACCCCTGGAAGAGCAGTCAGTACTCTTAACCTCTGAACCATCTCTCCAGCCCTCTTTTAAGATTTTTAAGTTAGTAAACCTCTATCCAGACCAGGAGGATAGAGTATAAATGCCTATATCACAAAGAAGAAAAGTGGTGCCATTGTGGACTCTTCAGACATCTAGCAGACAAGGAGAAGTCTAAAAAAAATCCAATCCATAAACCTAAAAGATACCAACTATCAAATCGCATCTTAGAAGAAGAAACTGAACTTTAAGTACAGGACCCCTCATGAGGACAACTCCACTGATGAATTCTGCCAGATACATCAAAGCAAGTGATGCCAATCCACAGAACTTCCAGGGTTTTCTATACCTCAATTCACACTGCAAGACAGAGGCAGATAGGGGTCAAGAAGAAAAATATATGTGAGTAACTGGTCTGTTAATTATCTTCACAGTGGTAATGTCACCTCTGACATGTCAAAATCTGTCAAATCATACCCTCTGAATACATGTAGCCTAACATATGTCATGGCACCTAATTAGTTGCTGGGCTCTAGTCACTGCTCTGTGTACAAGGCTCAGGAGCTACAGACAGAGGATGGCAGCATGTGCTATATGTATCAAGCCAGGGCCTGCTGCTCAGAGAGGCTCCTGGTATATAAATCAAGGGCACCTAACTCAACTGCTGCAAGCTTCAGAGAAAATACAAGCTTAAAAGAAGGGAGCAGGGGAACCCTAGTGTGGTAAGCCTGGGAGCATTTGAACAGAGATCACAAGAGTGGGCACAATGACAGTTTTCACAACACTCTGCTCAGTTTAACCTCAACTCAATTCTTCCCATGAGGTTACTTTCCCCCATCAGGAAAGGGGCATCATGATACAGGATATGTGAGATCAAGGAGAGAGAAAGAAATGAGCCACCCTGAGCTCTGGTCCTTATCTCACAGAGGGCTGGGCCTAAGACTCATCTTCCAGTCACCTGAATCCAGCTCTGTCTCAGGAACTGGTCTTCAGATTCTGGAGTTGAGAAGGGAATAAACAGAACAGGGTTCTGCAAACAGTCAGTATGGTTCATAAGAGAACAAGAAAACCACATAAGTTCCAGCCCTAAACCACTGATACGTGCATACTGAGTTCACAATATAGTAGGTGTAGAGAGAACATAGTCACCAGGATGAAGATTCTTCAGGCTGAGGAATTCTTCTTCCCTCAGTCATCATCTTTCCCGTGACTGTGTGGCCCAATTCTCTCATACAGCAGGTCCTAGTGGCTCTTACACTGGCCTTCACTGTTCAAATTAGAGCAGGAGGCTAGGGGTTCCTTGCCTTTCCACTTTCCACTGGGCTGGGCCTGAGGCATCCTAAGGAGTGTTCCCTCTGTTCGTACACCCTTGTAGTTTTACCTGAATCTTCTGAGAGTGCCTACCCTGGGTCTTCAGAGTCTGCATTTGGGGAACTTTTGAGTCTGCCCTTTTTGTGTCAGTGGAATGTGCCAACTGTTTGGGCTGCAGCAAGTGCATACAGGGCACCCCATCCCAGAGGGCAAAGATGTAGTTGGACAGTGTTCAACTACCAAAAGAAATGTGGAGGGAGCTCACATCCTAGTTTTCTACCTGGAGTTCCCCCATGGCTCAGCATGTTCATAGACTAGGAAGTGGCCATCTGATATCTCACTGCTCCTCATCCAGCATGCCACTTAAGAAGCCTTAACAGACAAATCTGTGTCTGAACCCAAGAAGAGCCAGTTGGAGGAAGGGTCAGGCTGGGAAATGGACTCTAGAGTTTTCCTAGGCAGCCTTTGCTTACCTCATTGTCTCAGGCCTGATATGGCCAGAAAGGGAAGCACCTGTATATAGCCTAGACATCTTATCACTCTAAGGTGGAACCAGATGAATGGTCACCAAGCAGCCTGACTTCCCCCCTGCTGAGAACTTATTGTGTGCATTGAGCACTTACCATGAACCCCCATTAGGTAATCCACCACTCTTATTAAGCCCCCACAGACAGTCAGTCAATACAGTGGATAGGTGGGTGTCAGGACCAGAAGAGCATAGTTGTATGTGGCCCTGTGTTTCAGGCTCAGACAGCATCATCTAGTAGGCTACCAGTGGCCTAACACTAGCTGCCTATAAGAATAGGTATGCCCTTGGCTGTTTTCATGCCATCTATAGTTTTTTTTTTCATTTCCCTTGCGTTTTTAGTAAAGTTGCTTTGGGGATTTTTTGTTGCTGTTGTTCAGTTGGGCAGGTCCAAAAGAAAGAGGCCTCTGGCTGTCTAGCTCTCAGTGTAAGGGGCAGGGTCTCTTTCTCATGAGTGTACCTCCCAATACCAACCTCTCTCCTGGTATCTGGAGAAGCAATACCCAAAACAGGAAAATAAAGAGCATATTAGGGGCCATAGAGAAGAAGCAGATCAAGCATTTATCTTTAATAATAATCACCTGGGTTGACTGTCCAAAAGCCACACATGTCTAATGGTGTTGAATGTCCATTCTTATCTAGAAATTGCTTAGAAGTGATCACAGATTCCAAATGTCTAGCCGACCCCTGACATTTTGCCTCTAAGATCATTGGAGTGGGCAGAGCCAGTGCACTGGGGAGATCCTCCCAACACGCTTGTATCTCTTCCCCAAGAGCATACTGAGAACTACTTTTCCCAGATCTCTTATACCTCCTCAGCACATTCAAACTATTTCCCTTTCCCTCCCCTAGCCCTAAGCCATGAAGAGAGGATTCTTGCTCCTGAATCCTAGCCTATTACTATTCATTCTTCCTCATTTCACTTGCAGGGTTTTCTTTGGGTCCCTAGAATCTGCTCTTAGGCCTCCTCTAAGCTATAGCCCTAAATCTGCTCATGACACCCTAATGGCCTCAAACTCTTTCCACTCTTCAGCTCTATCTACACACCCCCCACACTTCTACACAGGGTGCTAGGCCTGCTGATAGCAAGGTGGACATTGGAAAGAAGGAAGTCCTTCATTTAGGCAGGGAGCAGAACTTAGAGAATTAATTTAGAAGGTTAGCTGATTAGCCACATGGAGCCAGCAGAAAATGGAACCTCAGATGAATGACAAGAAGTACCATAAAGGATATGTCAGGATGAGCTCTGACAGACAGAAAGGCCCCAGAAGGGAGGGAAAGCAAAGTCAAGTGGGGAAGGAGAAACTTCTGAGTAGTGTGGCAGCAATGGCTGTGCATGCCTCACAGACTCTGTCCATTTGGTGAGGGATAGTGAGCTGAGACAGGGATCCTGTGGCCTCAGGAAATGTCACTGTATTCGCTACACACACACACACACACACACACACACACACACACACACACACACACACATACACAGAGAGAGAGAGAGAGAGAGAGAGAGAGAGAGAGATAAACACACAAAATGAAGTACACATACATACACACATGCAGTCACACTCAAATACGAATATGCCTCTTGGTGTTCCACCATAATTTGGCAGAGATATCCCATTTCTGTCTTCCTCTCTCAGCCTACAGCCCCACAGCTCCTATATGACCCTCACATGGAGCCTTGAAATGCTTTTTGTTGTTACTTTTGGATTTTAGCCATTTTTTTCATCTTGCCTCTGATCAAACTGATGGTGCAAAGTATGTGACTTGTAAGCAAAATTCTGAAGGTGAGATTCCAGAGCTCTGGCCACGATGACCTTACCACCCAATACCTACCAACTCTTAGCTATTTTTATAAATCATTGCCTTCCTGAGTAACAGTGCACAATGGCCTACTGTTAATGCTGGATTCCTCACGTTCTTCAACATCCTTCATTCTGCTCCCACACAGGAATACAGAGCCACCCCTACCCCCAACTCCTCACCTCCAGCAGCCTTGCTGGTCTGGGACATGTGTTCCCTGGAAACCCTTGCCTTGAATCATGTCATCTCACAGAGCATCTATCAAAAACAGCATGATCCTCTGAGCCACATCCTCTCTAAGACCACATCCTCTCCACAGGGCCATGTAGTTTTTGAAGACTACATCCTCCCCACAGATTTGCATCCCCAAAACCCTGCCATGGCTACTTGACAATCTCCAATTATCACTTGTATGCTTCCTCCTACTTGGTGGACACTCACCTGTAAAGTCCCAGGAGTGTTGACCAGCCTCAGGACAGCTCCTCAGAAGGGATGGAACCCAAGTGCCCATTGTGTACCTCACTATAGGAACTAAGACCCTGTATTCCTCTCAGGACTGAAAACCTCCTTGGGAGACCTCTATCATAGATGCTATCTATAGTAGAAAGGCTAGAAGGAGGGCTCTTGGAATCCTCCCAGAAAAGTGAGAACGCACTTGAGACCAGAAAACCAGAAAAGTCCAAGAATGGCTACCTCATTCTTACAGAGGGCCCAGAGCTATGCCAATCTCTCTCTCTCTGGAAAGTTCCAAGACTCTGTTCACATACTCATCTTACTAACACAGAATGGCATCCCCATAGGCCACGGTCCCTGTACCTGAAGTACATCTTCCACCCATGATAATGATTGATTTAGTGTAGGTGTGAACTGAGATAAACCACACAGAGTAAGCCTTCCCTCAGTACTTACCAAATGGATAGTCAGAAAGAGAGTTCAGGTTTTATGAGCAATCTTAAGATCCTTACTAGCACAACATTAACTAGCATAAAACAGTATTGAAGAGGTGTACAAGGGAGTGAGCACAGCCAGTGAGTGGCTGGACCTAGACATCACTAACTCCTCCTGATATAATCTAGGAGTTGCTGTCCCCAAGTTTACTCTGCAGAAAGACATGCAGTCTGGCTGGGATCAGTTCCCATTACACCTTGGTGGCACTAATGA